CGTAAGTCGGACCAGGCATGTCTCTTTGTGAACCACTCGTAACCACCTATCTGTATGACTCACTCAGCTGGTGGCGCTAGTGTGAGGGACAGCCAGACAGATAGACGGACGGACGGATGGATAGATGGATGGATAGAGGCACGGACAGAATGATGGACGCATAGATGGACGCATGAGTGGAGGGACAAAAGCATGAACGGAAGGACGCACAGATGGACGGACGCATGGATGGGCAGTCAGACAGACAGACGGATACATGGACGGGTGGACAAACAGACCGATGCATGGACAGAAGAACAGTTGGACACCCTACGAACCGACGGAAGCATGGACGGACAGACAGACGGAGAAGCACGGACGGACAGACTTACTGACGGATGGACGGAGAGATGCACAGACGAACGCACGGACTGACGTAAGCCCGAATGGATGAACGGATGGAAGCATAGACAGATAAATGGACGAGCGAACGAACAGACGGACAGATCAACGCACGGACGGTTGGACACACGAACGGACGGATGGATGGACGCTTCGTCCAACTCATAATTATTCACTCCGTGGATATTCTGTGATTTTTTCCACTATATCTATGCCCTGTGAAGGCCTTAGTTTTGTTTTCTCTCCACTCGCACTACGTCAGTACATAGGGCGGATGCATGAGGCGACGTGCGCGTTTTGCCAGTCGCTGCGACACAACGCATTCGTGCGTCCGGATCACGCTGGTGCGCGTTAATAGCGCGTATAAAAAGTAGCACATCTCATCGCTCTTTGTTCAGCTGGCCGCGTTTTGTTTTCTGTGAATGAAATAAGCGATGACGCCAAGATGCCGTACAAGTGCTGTATACCTCCATGTCCCAGGAACTACACAGGGTACATGAAGATGCACGTCTTCAAGTTGCTGAAACAGTAAGCTCCGAAGAACGCTTGGATTTGCGCTGTAACAAGGGAAAATATCACACCCATAAAATTTTTCAGGGTAAGCTTTTTTGGTATTTAGGTGCTTACAAGTGGTTCGCGCATCACACGTTTTTTGACAAGTAATCATCGGTTTGCTGATTTGAGCTAAACTTTTATTTCTTGGTATGCTGACTCACTTTATAGATGAAGACATCATTTGAGTAACAACGTATACAGATCAAGCTGATAGCGTAATGGAAGTGCCACTATCTAATGTGTACCTTCGTTCGGCCACTGTGCCGTCAATGCTCTCGAATTATACTAGCTATATTGCCGTGTCCCTTCCTCTATAGTTTTGTTATCGTGCCATCACTGTACGTAATTCTCAGCAAAAACTGCACCTGCAATGTTTGAGAAGGTTTGGGGCTGCAGTGCATCATTTAGTTAAGATCAGGCCCACTTCGCGAACATTTCAGATCAATGTGGAACCTACGCGGTCGCTGGCGATAACGCTATAGAATGTTCGACGCCACGTGTATAAATGCCTACGCCCTTCACCCTTTGTCAGTTGATCGATGGCCGACGGTCCGTTCACCGCGATCAGGGCGAGTCTGCTACAATAATCCAACTCTCCGTTTCCGGGGCACAGGTTCGCTCAAATAAACAGTTTAATCTCAACATATAGTCTTCTGTCTTCGGCCATGTCACGAACCCATGACGTCTGAAAGAGGCGCTGCTTCGTTCATGTACCGGACGGCCCCGTCAAGCCATGAACCAAGCCCACGTCGCGTAGAAAACACTGACGCCAGCCACGAGCAGCGAACAAGCCGCAGGCGGCAAGGTCTACCGCTGGAGTACGGGCCTCTACAAGACACGACTCGGAAAACCAAGGTCATGACCTCGATTGCGGTGACAATGATAACCGCTGCGTCACTGCCCGCGATCGTCATGCTCAGGAAATTTGGACCGCCTGAGGTTTTTTAACGTGCACCCAAATCTGAGCACACGGGCCTACAACATTTCCGCCTCCTTGAGAAATGCAGCCACCGCAGCCGGGATTTGATCCTGCGACGTGCGAGTCAGCAGCCGAGTACCTTAGCCACTAGACCACCGCAGCGGGGCGCCCTCACCTCAAGAAGGTTGATGATTTATATGTGGGGTTTAACGTCCCAAGACCACCATATGGTTATGAGAGACGCCGTAGTGGAGGGCTCCGGAAATTTTGACCACTTAGGGTTCTTTAACAGGCGCCCAATTGTGAACACATGGGCCTACAGCATTTCCGCCTCCATCGGAAATTCAGCCGCCACCGGGATTCAATCCTGCGACCTGCGGGTCAGCAGCCGCGTACCTTATGGCCTTTACACGCGCTGCCCATGCAGCCGCAACGTACGTGCCGGGACCCCTGCCACACGCAAGCAGGGGTCAAATAAGCCAATTGGCGACGCTCTTTCACCCTACGCTTGGGTGCGGCAGGTGTGCCGGTATGTGCGTTGCGACTGCGCGGCGAGTGCATGGAAGGGCCCTTATCCACTAGACCACCGCGGCGCGGCAAGACCGCAAGAAGGGAAGATCTCGACTCCAAGCACACGTACATGTAGGATGCGGCCCTCCAAAAAGCCATCACTGTATTTTACGTGACATTTGGTTATCAAAGTTTGGGATGAGGATAAATTCAAAACTGTCAGCGAACTTACCTACTGCTTGAAGGGCAAACGTACGTAGTTCAGGGATATAACAAAATAAATATGAACGGCATCTCCTCATACAAATCACCTATGACGAAGCCCCGTGGTCGAAATACTCTGCGTGAAAGTACACTTGAGTGTGGATCTACATGCTATAATAACGGCTGTAAAAAAGCATGGCATGAATTGCTACGTTACCGAATTGCCCAGCAGCAAAAGGGTTGTGTCGGAATTCCTGGAAGGCATGGAGAAATTAGATGGTGACCTGATGTGCATCTCGGTCATGGAAATTTGCGAGACGGTTTGTTTACTGCTAAAGCACCTTTGCACATCCCAAGCGAAATCCAACGCCCAATATATTAGATTTGTGAAGGAGCAAGTCATCTTGCATCCATCGAAAAAACAGCGCAGGCGTTATTCTGCTAACTTCATGACGTTCTTCTGCATTCTTTTCACTGTATTGCCCCATGCGTACGTGTTAATGCCCAGCCACGGAAGCATCACTTTGCCGCATCCTATGACTATCAGTTCGGTGTGCTCATCATATGGTATGAGCCTCCAACAAAAGCATCAACACTACATGACACTCCTCCACTACATGACGAAAAGAATTTCTGTCATGAAAGACGACCAATGCTTTGTCACAGTTATGGTAGACTAAATATATGTAAAACTCTACTTTGACTACGAAGGGGGCAATATTATCGTTAACAGAAATGAAGCTGCTAACTGTGCACTCGTTTTTATAGTGCGCATCCTGACGTGTAAATTCAAAGACTTGTACTTTTTTGATTATTCTAACCGTTAGTACTGTAAACATTAGCCATCTTGGATCTAGCCAGAGGTGTCGTTATGAGTTTTTATGCCTTGTAAGAGCATGTGCAGTAAGGACTACAGCATAGTGTTTTTCCAATATAAATATTCTGTATAAGGTCACTGCTCAGTGTGGTATCTATTCTTTGCTAAGCCCGTGTTTTTCAGCTGTTTTGTATCTCCCAGCTGTGAGGTCGTCAATAAATTGATGCTACAATTGCTCGCTAACGAAAAGCTATCCAACGCCGACAGGTTCAATGGCTACACGATTCCATTATTACTTACACATCCTGCCGTGCAACACCCATATTCTGCTTTAAAAATTTTTGTAAGAAGCTGAACGACAAACCTTTCGACTCTGTCAATAAATAAACAAAGGTAGGACACAGCCTACAAATAAGTACATCTATTGCTTCTAATATGAGCAAGTATTAAACGAAACTGGGCTGTGTAAATAAAGGTTCTACTGGTATACAGCGTTTTGCTTCTAATTAATTTTGAATACATGAGTGATTGTTCTTGCAGAAAAAAAATGTTTACACGCTGTGCACCTGCGAGGACAACCTCTGTTCAACAGCACTTCTTACTTTTTTTTTCCATTCAAATACGCCCCAACGTGTGACGTCCCGTGGAGAGAGCAAAGGGCTTCAAACTTTTCTAGAGTGTGTTGCTATGCCCCTGTGAGTTTTTCTCAACTAGCCACGATTGCGCATCGGCGATGTCTGGCTACACTCTACTGACGTGGTTCTATCAGAGTAACCAAGGCAGCAGCAGCTCGGGCAGATACAAAACGTAAAAGCCAGGGTGAAGTAAAGAAAGGAGGGAGCATTACATCACACGAGTGAAGCCCACCTTGTCGCCCCAGCAAGTGATCAAAACATGAGAGCTTGTGGTAGGACTTAGTGATCTCAGTGCTGTTCCGTCTTTGAACGACCTGTGTGAGCCGGCTGGTCTACACCGAACCAGCACGTTTCGATTAAAAGCTGCCTGGTGCCGTTCTCCGAAGTATCGGCAAGTCTCATAGCTGGCGTGATTTTCCGGAAAAGGCCACGTGCTGGGCTGACAATGCTGGCTTCAAAACTGCACTGGCTTGCCAAGGCTGCCCACGTGACGTCAGGTGCCCTAATTGCTTTTCTCTTCCTCCATGCTAAAAACACATATGTATCGTGCATTGACTGCATAATTTGAGGAATACATTGTGGCTCGGTACTGAATAGTTTCATATTCGGATCGTTCTGGCATGTTCACCAAGGAATTATCACTTCTTTTTTTTATTTTTGGTAATGGCGTTTATCTTTTCTTAAACCTTGTTTATGATTCCCTCCTTGCTTATGTCTTCACAGGTGATAATTGTTTGTTTATTTCTATCATGGTATGTGCTTGACTAGAAGATATGGTATCTGCAATGATAAAGGTGCATTTATGATTCCTTACAATGCCATGATTTGAATGAGTCTTCTGTTAGTGCAATGAGAGTTTCGGACATGTTATGCTTTGTTATACGTTCTCGTGTAGCCTATAGACTCGTAATGAAGTATAAAAGACGACTGCATTCTAAACAACACCGTAAAGTGCTATAGTGGATTCACGCTGCAGGTAACGGCAAAAAAAACGTAAGAAATTTTTATTTTTACACTGGGAATACCGGTAACAGTTTCTTGAAGCAGCAGATATAAAATTAAAGGTATATATCACACTAGGCCGGGGCCCATACGCATGTGCCCCTATCACAGCTGCGGACGGACACCATGTCGCTCAGCCGTGGTGGCTCTTCTCGCTGTTGAAGACGTATCCCTTCTCGGAGCAGATGCCGGTGGCGCCGGTCAGGATGGCTGCGCCGGGCTCCAGCTGGCAGGTGGTCTTGCCGGCGCACTTGTCCTGGAAGACTGGCACACAGGCCTCACCGGGGCACTGCGAGACAAGAGTGCAAAGGTCAGTGATTTGGGCTCATTATGCCTCTCGGTTAAACGAATGCTACCGAGCAGGCTATAGGATATACGCCATTGTTATTGTTGGTCACACATTGATATGAAAAAAACAATGCAAAAGAAGACGAAGCACATTGCCTTTTTTTTTTTAAGGCGAAACCCTCACCCCCGTATTCAGACACAATTGTTGACTTTAATTTGACTTGGTACTGCCTTCCATGCAGTACAAATGCGAACGCGCTGCTTTAGACAGTGCCGAACCAGCACGAACGCACAAAAGCATTTGTCCGTTTAGACGCTTCATCAAACGAGAAAATTTACATCCCGCATCGGTGGTGTCAGCGTGAGTGATGCAAAAACAAAGCGTGTCATGAATTTCACAATATAACGTCATTATGACGTCACAAGACGCAGCGTCACGTGTTGAGGTAATCGCATCGCAGCGTCACGCGGTTAAAGCTGGGCCGGTCATGGAAACAGAGCAAGACCGAGCAAGCTGCAAAAATGCTCGCGATGCCTGCAATCTCACAGGCAGTGCAATACCTTTTTAGGGGCAGAAAGTCTTCAGACAAGGTGGAAGAGCATCAAAACATTGACTAAAACGATAAAGAAGACGGCTTTCTGCTTCGAGTCTTCTTTGGCATGCAGTAACCTTTGAGTTTGTCTTTTCACAATCATGAAGGCTTTGAATGTTTTCCCGTTGTTAAGTGCACAAGATAGTAATACTGAAAGTAAAAAAAATTCAGTGCTTGATGCCACGCTTGTGCTGCGCCTCCTGACAGGCTGTTTTCCCCATTTGCGAATGCCTCGCATTTGTCAAAACATGGTCGTTATCATCTCCGCCGCGGGGCTCGGCTCTAGCTGCATTAACGACACCCGTCATACTACTTACGCTGCCTTTATAAGGCGGCAGAAAAAGCAACAATAATGAATATTTTTCCAGTTGAAAAATATAAAAGGGTATACAGCAGAAGTTCGTCAACAACAAGGTTGAACTTGCCCATGATTGAAATACGCGAGTGAATAAGAAAAATCACAGTTCAGTCTTCCGTCTTTGTCTTCAGTTGTTATCCATGTGATTTAGAACGTAAGGTCGCTATATTATAAAATGTGTTCAATATTACGGGCAACAAGTTTCCTCGCCCCAAAACTTCTCTTGAACTTTGTTTTAGCTTGATGCTAATTATGGGTTCATGAGATTTATTCTTCTATTTGAGAAACTTCACTGCAACCGGAAGGTTTACACGGACTTATTTGGCGTACCATTTGCCATGCATTTCCGAAGAGTCGTCTCTTAAGGCTCCCTATTCCTTTCTCAGTGGCACTGATGCGACTTCGTAAGACGCTAAGGTTTTTTTTTTCTGCCTTTCACGTTCCTGCATTGGTCAGTTCATGCAACTGAAAGAAATGGGGGTACCTTATTTGCCAGTAATCACCTGGCAAAAATGAAAAAAATCGCCGGTCCCAGTTTCCTCTTTATACGTTCCTGCAGTTATAGCTACAGAGAACTCACGAATAAAACAATAATTTTTGGCACTTGAAAAGTGCGTATACCTTGTAGCAGACATCGCAGCAGTTGCAGGCGTCCTTGTAAGTACCGCACTTGCAGCTGGCAGTGTTTGGGCACTTGCTTGGATCGCAGGGGCTAGCGGCGCAGTTTGGCTGAGAGGTAGCCAGGGTGCTGCGTTATAGAAAGGCACATATTATACCTATTCCAGTGAAACACGTAGCCATAAGCACATTAACGTTGACTTGACCGAATTCATCGCAAAGGAAGGATGACAGACAATCGGAAGGCGTCATGGTAACACATCTGGCCGTTTCCTACGATGCTTTATTCATATGTCAAGGTTTCTGTGCTCTAAATTCATTACAAATATTGTATTAACCCGATAGCAATAAACAGGTCGTTTCGCAGAAATTCTCGTGTCAGCGTCATTGGTTTTGAACCAAACATCTTCATCTTATGTTGACCGAAGAATTGATCATGATGAAAATAAAATGAATAATGAAAATCTTGGAGTAGAGTGCATGGGGACCGAACCAGGGTTCATTGGGTACAAGTGGCAATCGAACCTGCGTCGTTCTCGTGGCCAGTGATGTTCTACCACATGAACACATCTGTGCTTGTGAAAACAGGGAAAAGAACTTCGTCTGCTTGAAAATGCAGTGAGAATATATTTAATGCTTCACAAACGCATGCGTCCTGTATGCATGTTTCACAATGCAACATGAAATGTTGCAGTAATGATGCGTGGTACAAGTGTTTACTGCCAACGGGCGTCAGAATAATTGATTATCATAATGGTTCCGTGGTCGAAGGCCGGTACACCACTACAAAAGGCACATACGCTACTTCACCTATTCGCTTAATGCCACGTAGTTGGCGGATAGCAAATTCGAAAAGATTTCATGCGCTAAGTGTTTATGCACTAGAAACAATATGTTACTATCTCATTCAACTCTTAAAGGTGGAACTTTAGAATACTCTAATTTTTTTTTTTTCAAACAATGACTACTAACTGAAGTTGCTAACCTTGTAAGTTGTGCTTGGAAGCTCATGCCGCCGGATCACTTGTGGGCCACGTCATCAGCATTTAGATGGTGGCGAAGTACACAATTATTGGTGTACTTTGATTTAGGTGCATATCAAGAAAGCAATATGGTCATATTGATCCGGTTTTTCCCACGGTGTGCCTCATATGCACACCAATGTTTTGAAATGTGAATTTCTAGCAATAAATATTGCCAGCTAGACCATCCATTTATACTACCATAATTTTGCAAGCGTGAAATATTTCATGACGTGTCAGAAAGAAAGCAGGGAAAGACTAAACGCCTATTGAAAGTTCCCGCCTCTTATTCCACTGTGGCTAATGATTCAGTGATCATTTCTAGTGAATCTAAAATCAAAGCTCTGATATACCATGCATTGATGTTCTAGTCCTGATGACCATGATAATTGGAGCTGCCCAACTATTCTTATTCTATTCTTATTCAACTTATTCTAGCACGAAGGTACTGTCAACGTCTGTATTCAGTAGTTCTTCCATGGAACTGAATTACCTTATTTCGATGTTACTGAATATCTCGGGCATACTAAAATGTCAGAAGAGTTTTCGCAGTTATTTTGACAGCCAAACTACATTTATGGATGTTTGGGTAACTGTATTCAGCCTCTAAATGGATATATCTAGGATAGATCTAATGAGAATGATATGGTAGAGTGCGTGAGTTTTCCAAATAGAAGACGCCACATAACATGCTCTTTCTTACCCGATGACGGCTATGGTGAGCACGACCAGGAGGCACAGAGCAGCCTTCATCTTCGTTTTCTAAACACAATACAAAGAAAACGGGAGTGCAACAAGGTAAACTAGGGCATTAGCACAATAATTACTGACGCGGACGTATACGCAGCAAGAAATATTGGTCCTTTTTGCATATCTTAAATCTAAAAAAAAGTATTAGTTGTATTATCTTTTTCATCGGTTGAGATGGTCACGAAAACACGTAAAGGTAAGTTCGACGTCCAGCTTTTAGAGGCTCGGCCACTAAGCGTGAATTATATTCCCTATTCCAATAAATCAAATCGCAGCTTCTCATTTCATCTCGTCAACTCTCTATTAAGCACCTCTTACTGTTGCAGCCATGGAACCTCCATATGCCTTCGAAAGGGCCTTTGCTCGTTTTTCAAAGAGAGCCGCCCCATTATACCTGTGCTAATCTTTTCCTCAAATACGTAGTGATTTATTTTACTCTCCTCTTTTTTTTGGCGTATTAGCTATGCTGTATTCATGTCAGAAAAGCAGTAATAATTCAAACACGGAATACGAGACATCACGTGAAGACGGGCGTGCCCTCATGTGATGTTTCGTAGGTCGTGTTCGATTTAGCGCCACTTTTCTCAAATGGATCCGTACCAACGAGTTTACTTTCATTCACTTCTAAGCCTTAACTGTAACTTCCTTTTCTATTTGACAATTTCCAAACATAATTGCCTCTGGGAACCATAACAAATTTTTACACAGTTTTCACTTTCCTGACTGATTTTTTGGTCTTTATTCCTTTCTTTCTCAATTCACTACCTTTATTTTGATCGTTTTGGATACCATCTTGCTGGTGATAAGTGGCAGTCCTGCTACCAAAAGCAAGCAATAGAGAAAAGAAGCTGAGAGCTGAGTCACAAATAACCTGCCACGACATTCTACCAGCAGATACGGATGGAGTGCCTCTGTTTCTCATTGCCGTGGTCACACTGTGACCAAGAAGCTATAATCACTGGGCCGCGAGAAATACAGACTCACTAAACTTAAGCACACACGATACAACATACACATAAAACACAGTTCAAAACGTTCTCACGCACATAGGAACAGTTCTCAAAAGTCGCAGCACATACAAAGTTAGGCAAACTCGAGGCTGTATGTCAATGCATAAAAATTAAATACACGTTCCTCTTCACATGAAATGATTTTTGAATATCTCTTACCAGTAGCGTCGAAGTTCAGCTATCAGGCTATCGAGCAGACAGAATTAGAAGAACTTAGCTGTCACACACCCGTTGTTTCGGCGAACTTAATAAATATTTATTTTTGACGTGTGGAGTCAAGGTAATTTTTATAGTGAATAAGTATTTTCCTCATCTTGGCCGTATTTTACTGCCAGTAACACCATCACCCCACAATATTTTCTTTAAAGTTACGATTTATTTTCGCATGGTGAACCACATCCTGATATCATATTTTTTGGTTGCATATTGAGTCAACAAGCAGCCATCCGGTTTCTGCTTTTTCTATTTTCAATTGTTCACTAATGTACTCGTCCGACTCATGAAAAAAAAAGTTGCGGTTGCCAAGTTTGCAGACTCTCATCGAACAGTTGACGAGAATTTTCAAGCGCAGAGAAGAGACACATTCACAAGACGAGAGCACAGGGTCAGGTGCTAGTTTTATCCTACTTTATTTGAGGCATCGCCTGAAATCTAACTAGAAAAGCACACATGCACACGCAGTCTATCGTAAGTGTCGCTGACAGACGTGCCTCCTCATATCAGAAACTGAGCTCTCAGTTCCACATCGGTGAAGCTTTTGAAAGCAGAAGCTGAGTATCTCGATAAATTTTGTGAAGAGAGAACGTCTTCGACAATTGCATTTGACTTTGTGCGCACGCTGTGCTTTTCTGGTTATATTTGCGGGCGATGCCTCAAATAAAGTTAGTTGAAAGTAGCACCCACCCTCTCCTCGCCTCTTGTGAATGTGTCTTTTAGCACTCTAAATTCTTGTCAACAATGCACCGCCTCACTGAATTTAAAGTTTTTTTTAATCACCAAAAGAAGGTGGTGTGTTTATCGTAAGAACTCCTGCGAAATAAAGTAGACTGAAATGTTGACATTCTAACTGAAATAGGTTATCGCCATTAATGAAAATCCAGGTTTATTATTTACCAATTTAAGAACCAGTACCGACATTTTCGAAAGGCAGAGAGATGCGCAACTTTCATGGGTATGTTAACAGCAGGCTTCGCAGCGGTAGTGTAGTCGGTATATGGAACTCGACTGCTAACCCGAATGTTGCGGGATGTAATTCTGGTTGCAGGCGGCTGCATTTTCAACAGAGGCGAAAATGCTTGTATATAGCCCGTGTACTCATATGTAGGCGAACGTTTAGGTGAAAATTTCCGGAGCCCTACCCTTCGGCGTCTTCATAATATAATTATTTTATTTAAATAATACAACAATACAACCCTCTAATATTATTATATTATCATGTTAACGTGCCTTACATGCGGGTGTTACTGATAACATGGATGCTAATATCAGAAAAACGTGTAAAGACATCATTAACACCATGGCGAGCTGAAAATTATGGAGACGTTAGTGCCTACTCAATGTACCTAGATAACTTTGAACAAAGATATTACCGAGGAAGAGCTGTGTGCTCGTACAATAAATGCAGAATTTTTGCTTTATATGAGAAATTTCAGTGAGAACTTAGTGCATGTGAAAGAATATTTCACTTTTCTATATTCTGGTATATCTTGCTTGCTGTGGATATATTAAGGTTTATTCTATGTGGGCTACCACATTTCTCTACGTTTGCTTTCTTCTCGTGACGGAAAGCTCGGGGGGGGGGGGGGGGGGGGGGGGGTGTAGCTAGTAATGCATATCCACCGGTGCTTGCGACCAATATTCCAGATCAAAATACGTCCTATGAAGTGATACGAACGCTGCGAGATATAACATATCCGGGAGCCACATTATTTTAAAGACTTGCAGGCTGCCTTTCACGAGAACAACAAGGCGCCACTACTTGCGCAGAGTTTCACGGCGTGGCATGTGCGACGTTACGCCTCTTCCGAAAGCTGGGCAGTTTTGGTATCCGCAATCGTCGCGAAGCAAAGCGTTCATCCTGGCGTTCAGGGGCTCACCTTCTCAGTAGCCGCACAAGTGCAGAGTGGGTTGAAATGAATACGGAGCCCTAGAAAAAAAGGGGTGGGTTTTATACGCATGGACCTTTTTGCCCTCTCCTTCCTTCGCCTGAACTAGCAACTAAGTCCAGCTTCGAGCGTCCTCCTCTTCACAAAACCTTGAACGTTCGCTCGAAGTGGCACCGTTCACTCGACGCCGTACAGCCTCATTAATGCAATGGGCGAGAACGAGTTTCGTGCGATCCTATATTAACTAAATAAAGAGCTCCGCCAGCCTGTTTCTCGGCGTTGTTCCTATCTCGGAAGATCGTTGCTTTTCGCTTCAGGTTCCAGCGTGCTCCGGTGTTGCGTGGCAGAAACCCCCTTTCTTGATTTCCAGAATTTAAAAAAGAAGCCGCAAGATCAACGCAAAAGCCTCACTCGAGTAATGAATTGCGCGAGCACAGTGTTACGTGGAGGGAATCTTGGATATGCGCGCTTGTTAATCGCACTGGCTTCGGAGCACGTGATCTGACTGGATGATGCGATTGCACGTTATGTTAGCTTATGGAGACGCCCCGAGTCGTGTACGGGGGGTATTCTAAGAATCGCTGCTTCGAGCATCGTCCGATTGTCAAAAAAGCTGGTGAGCACTCAAATGTACCACCCTTTTTCTGGAACTCGCATGCGTATCAAACGGCTTGCATACATTTATTCTTTGGTCAGCCAGCAATGCTCTTGTAATCTATTCAGCTTTTGGTTGATGCTTCGCATCCGCCTCAACTGTATTAGCAAAACTTTATGGGCTCGAGTGTGACGTATCATGAAATAAAGGGATATGTTCGACAACACTTGGTTTCACATAAGTTTAGTCATTTGGCTGCAACCTAATGCATATCTTGTCAATGCCCTGTTTGTGCGGACTTTTGTATTTGCACATTCTTAATGCAGCGTAAACAAAACAGCCTCGACTTTGAGAATCACCGTCACGCAGGGTATAAACTTAACTGTTTTTGTGAATCTGAGGTCAGAATTAGTGAGAAATTTTCACCTCTTATTTAAGTGCTATTTTCTTGACTGTTACCACGTGAGTGGTTTGTAGTACATTTTGATCGGAGCCGACAGTGCTTCTTTGGTAGTATAGCTAATTACAGCATGGTCTTTCATTGTATGATAACAGTGCAATAGGAGTTATGTATATATTCTGTATGTTCAGTTGATAAACGGGGTTTGTTGTGCATGATTGTCCCGACGGCAGGTTCTTCTGCCCCTATCCTAGCACCAGAACCATGTCTAGTTACGCATCCCCTCCAGCACTCCCAGCTTCCCACCCTTGCAGATCTTCATTATGTATAGTCGGTTAAAACCTAAGAATAAAAACCCAAATAAAATAAAACTATAAGCACCACCTCCCAACACTGCGTCTCACCAGCGATTCATCAGTGCGTGAGAGTCGTGCTACGAGGTTTCCGTTGTAACCATCACTACTTTTTCACTGTTAAGAATGTTTGATGTCCCTACGTGAAGAATTACGTTTGACAGACAGTGATGTAGAAATCATCTGAAAATAAGGCAAACCTGAAAACAAGGCAAGGCCAGAACGGATTCGCTTTGTTTGCGCGATAATTATTCGTTATTATCCGCTCCATGACAAAAGAATTTTAGCTTGTTTGAAGACAGATGTTCTTGTGAGAACGTTTTATGCATTGCTCTTAAAAAGATGGTATGGCGAAGGGGGGGGGGGCTACTAGTGAATAAAGTATGCAACCTTGCAGCTTCAGACGCTGATTTCGCAGTAGCCGAAATCTCGTAACCATTCGATGCAAACGCAGCAATTTTTAGTTCATCGTAAATGCAGCGCAGAAGAGAAGGAGAGACAAAGCATATGTTTATTGTTATGTGCCACTCACCTAGAGTACGAAGAAGTGAAGGACTAAGTGTGCCTGCTCTCGCCATTTCGGTTGTTTTTGGCCGAACTACTGTGGACTGTAAATACTGTAAATAATACGCCCTTTTTTTGTCATTCCCCCCCAAGTAACATTATTGGTGGAGGTTGCGGGGTATTCACTTCACGCAAGACGGAACTTCGCAGCGGGCGTCTTTTTGGACAGTCCATCATGTTGACAGACAATTCCGTCGATTCAGCCCCCGCTATGCCCTATGGAAGAAATCTACAGGGGATCAACTGCTACCATAGTGCTTCATAAAGAAAGCAACAGAATACAGATCAAGAAGGGTGTAAGGCAGGGGGACACAATTTCCCCAATGCTATTTACCGCGTGCTTACAGGAGGTTTTCAGAAGCCTAAAATGGGAACAGTTAGGGATAAGAGTCAATGGAGAATACCTTAGTAACCTGCGATTCGCCGATGACATTGCATTGCTGAGTAACTCGGGGGACGAATTGCAACTCATGATTACGGAGTTAGACAAGGAGAGCAGAAAGGTGGGTCTTAAAATTAATCTGCAGAAAACGAAAGTAATGTACAACAACCTCGGCAAGGAGCAGCGCTTCGAGATAGGTACTAGTGCACTTGAAGTTGTAAAAGACTATGTCTACTTAGGGCAGGTAATAACCGCAGAGCTGAACCACGAGATTGAAGTAACTAGAAGAATAAGAATGGGGTGGAGCACATTCGGCAAGCACTCTCAAATTATGACAGGTAGATTGCCACTATCCCTCAAGAGGAAGGTATATAACAGCTGTATCTTGCCGGTACTTAGCTACAGAGCAGAAACCTGGAGACTTACAAAGAGGGTTCAGCTTAAATTGAGGACGACACAGCGAGCAATGGAAAGAAAAATGGTAGGTGTAACCTTAAGAGACAAGAAGAGAGCAGAGTGCATTAGGGAACAAACGGGGGTTAAGGATATCGTAGCTGAAATCAAGAAGAAGAAATGGACATGGGCAGGGCATGTAGCGCGTAGACAGGATAACCGCTGGTCATTAAGGGTAACTGACTGGATTCCCAGAGAAGGGAAGCGGGTTAGAGGGAGACAGAAGGTTAGGTGGGCAGATGAGATTAAGAAGTTTGCGGGTATAAATTGGCAGCAGCAAGCACAGGACCGGGTTAACTGGCGGAACATGGGAGAGGCCTTTGTCCTGCAGTGGACGTAGTCAGGCTGATGATGATGATGATGATGATGATGCCGTATGCAGCAAGCCGCGTTGTTGTGACCCACCCTCGAGACTCTGGTTCTTCTGCGGGACTGATAGCGTGCACGTGTAGAAGTGGCTGGCCGACTACGAGCGCGCCAGCAATACCAATCGCTGGGATCCGACTTTGATGCTTGCAAATGTCAGCTACTACATCAGGGGTACGCCAGTCTGTGGTTCGACGCGCACGAGGAAGTGCTGATCAGCGCGGACGTATGTAAACAAAAAAAATGAAATACCTTTTCGGAGAGCCTACTGCACGCCAACGAGCCGCCCAGAAAGAACTCTCGTGCCGGGCCCAAACCTCAACGGAGCCGTACATGCTGTACATACAAGATGTCTTAGCCTTGCGCCGGCAAGTTAATAGCCAAATGCCCGAAGCCGACAAAGTCAGCCACATCCTCAAAGGCATCGCTGACGATGCCTTTCACTTGCTTGTGTATAAAGACTGCTCCGCCATTGAAGACATTATCAGGGAGTGCCGGCGGTTCGAAGAAGCAAAGAGCCGACGAGTCACGCAGCACTTTGTTCGGCTCTCTAACACTGCCGCAACGTCGTTGTGCGAAGACGTCCAGAATCAGCCGCCACCCAGTACCGCAAACATTCTGCGTCTTGTGCGGTGAGAGATCGAGGCAGCAACTCCTTCCGCTCCCCAGGCTCGTTCTCAAGAGGAAGCGCGTCCGACAGTGTAACTAATTCAAGCCGTCGTGCGTGAAGAACTGGCAAATACAGGCATCCAGCCAGCATGTGCCCTAAGTAGTCTTCCGGCTAGCCCTGCTCCATAATACTGGCCACAACAAATGTATTCCCGCTAACGTGATCTGAACCAGTAGCGCACGCTTGATGACAGGCTGATATGCTTCAACTGGCATGGTGTAGGCCACATTTTTTGCTATTGTCGCTACCGTCAGCCATCGACCCTTCGTTCATCATACCGTTTAGACGACACTAGATTTTCCCCTTTGCACAGCTATGAGGACCCAGCAATCCCTGAGGCCCGAACATCGACCACACGTTACGACCGCTCGCCATCCCCACAGACCCAGCGACGTTCTCTGTCATCTATGCCCCGTCGCTCCCCTTCGCCTTTCCCACGCCGTCCCTCCTCGGAGAACTGACCCGTGCAGCTATCAGAGGTGATGCTGCATTGAACAATTGACCCGAAAACCCTCTCATAACTCCGGCAACTCGGCAAATCTTTTTTTTTTTGACGTAGAAGTAGATGGCGTGCCTGTTTCAGCGCTCATCGACACAGGTGCCCAATTATCAGTCATGAGCGCTTACCTTTCTCGTCGTCTCCGTAAAATCGTTACACCTGCCTCATCACCTGTTGTTCGCGTAGCCGATGGCCGTAAACCTACTATCCTTGGAATGTGTTCTGCGCGTGTGAGTTTCGATGACCACAAGACCCTCAGTTCTTTTTGCTGTTCTGGGCGAGTTCCCTCATGACCTAATCCTCGGCCACGACTTTCTGAGCATGCATTCAGCCCTGATCGAATTTTTGTCTAGTTTGTTAGAGTTCGAGCTTCCTGCAATACCTGACCTCACTATGGTATCGTCACCACGTTTATGACTCGTTCAGTTTGTTCGCTTGTGCCCAGGTACCGCAACTAACGTCTCATTTAACGCAGACCCACTAGTAGGTGATGACGACTACATGATTACCCCCTCCTTAAACGTTGTTCTGAAGAGACGAGTAGCTGTGCCTCACTCTCTTGTGACTGTTTCTGCGAACAACGCTTGTACACCTGTCCTGAACTTTGGACGCTGTGCACAACTAGCTTCCTGAAGGCATCACGCTGGGTACACTGTCACCTTTAGACGCAAACGACCTTGTTGCCCTGCTCCTTGATGTCCTACAGCCGCCTCTAGGCAGTCCTGTTTCTAGTTCCGACACCTGATGACGCATTCGACAACATCATTGCCCCAAACCTGGACCCTTCTCAAAGACTGGACCTTAGC